TCAACTCTCGCGGCCCGGTACCAAACGACTCACAGACCAGTACCGGTCCGAGGCCCGGGGGTTGGGGACCGCTGGTCTAGACCAAAAAACTAAATTTTGCTCTACAAGGGCCTGATATCCACTTACGAGGACATTATACTGCCACTGTTCTATTGAAATTTAAAACAAATGACCTCATATGTGGATCTCATTTTTGTCAGAAATAAAAATCAGGTAAAAAAAAATTCAAATCAGGGTAATTCTTTGTTTTTACATTCATCAGGTCCCAATCAGCCCAAATAGCAAAGAGAAATTAAAAATGCATACAATGAAAGAGTTCGGGTCTTAGGACAATAATGTAAACAGAACTGGTCCTAGCACGGAACCTTGTGGATCTCTGTAATTAGTGTGAATGCTGATTAACCATTTAACTTTTCATTTATAGAGATTTTATTTTTATTATGCACGTATTTCATGTATTTCAATGGGGAGACTCTTCAAATTCTCATTCAATGCACTCCTCTTTCAACTCTGCTTCCACATACGTTCACCTACAGACACTGTTCAAACTTTAAAACAAAGCCAAGACATTGAACTTTTCAGGTTGTATTTATCGTTTCAATACCTTTTATAGTTTTCCTATCAGTTCCAGTTTAAGTTTCATGCTTTTTTTCACCCGTTTCACCCGTTTCACAGTTTATAATGGATGTCTCTATGGGACGGAATGTTGGTGGTTTCAGTGAGAAGATTAGCTGCCACAGTGGCAGAAACCAAAAGATTCATCTTAAAAACGTATCTCTCAGCTGCTGCCGTATCCACAGTTTTCGCTCTACAGTCATCATTTTACCCTCAAAGCATTCCAATCGTGGGTCACTTCCTAACGATGTGTCTCTCAAAGCTAAGAGATGCACACTTTTTGAGCTGCATAGATGCAAGTAAAGGAAGTACCTTCTAACTGACCCATTGTGATCCATTGTCTTTTCAGTGAGGAGTTTGTCTCAAGAGCAGAAAAGACTGAACGTTTTTACTCTTGTGACCACATTTTTGAGACCAGAAACATTAAAATACTGTTGTGTAGAACAAGTCTTTTGGACCCTCGTGGTTTAAAAACTATTTTGATAGGAGTCAAGATCTTGGATTTAGAAGCAGTTTTTTAAGCAGGCACACCAAGACAAATTTGACAGGAATTTGCTACAGAGTAACAGTTTGTCAGTATTTACTGCAGTCCAACTCAAAGCTCTTTGGCAGTTATTTTCAGATAGTGAATTTAAATGTATGGGAACGATAGAGCATTCTGATTGGCACATTAATTTCAGGCTTATTTTTCATTGGTGGATTTGTCTTCAGCAGACAGGTGGTTCAAATCTGGGCAGTTGGAGGCAGTCGATGACTTTTAGAATTATCTTTTCATTGAAAACTAATTTACCTGCTCATTTGATGGCCCTCTCTCAAAAGCTCCTGTCAGTAAGATACTGGCTGCTGGTTCTCACCATCATGTTCTTCTACAACGGCATCTTCCCCTTCATTGCTGATGCAAGGTAGAGTTCTTGACATAAAGTGTGTGCATACTGATGAAATACAGTGATATGAAACAAATGTCCTCCTGCCTGATTTCCTGTTTTTTTTTTTGTTTTTGGTTTTTTTGTTTGTTTGGTTTTTTTCAAGCATTTGCGATAACTGGCAATGAGTCTTCACAGCGCTGTGGAGGAATTTTGGCCCATTCATCTTTGCAGAATTGTTGTAATTCAGCCACTCTGGAGGGTTTTTCAGCATGAACTGGCTTTTTAAGATCATGCCACAGCATCTCAATCGAATTCAGGTCAGGTCTTTGACTAGACCACGCCAAAGTTTTTATTAGATAAGATGAATTAACTGTGGTGTGTCAAATCTTTGGAAAGCTGAGTTTAGTTTCTCTAGCCACACCCAGGCCTGATTACTGCCGGACATTTTTGTAAAAGTAACACAGCATTTTAGAAAAGGAACATTAAAATACAGTAAAATATGGTGGTGGTAGTGTGATGGTCTGGGGCTGTTTTGCTGCCTCTGAACCTGGAAGACGTGCTGTGGTAAATGGAACCATGTGGCACGTCTAGCAAAACATCC